TGTGTGTGTGTGTGTGTGTGTGTGTGTGTGTTGGGGGGTGGGGGGCGGTGCTCGGGTCAAGTCCTTGTCCAAGTAGGGACAAGAAAAGTCTTCAGTGAGCATGCAGCCTCCCTCTCCTCTCAGTAGACTCTACTGGTCCTCTCTATCCCCAAAGAGTCAGCAGAGTGTGCCCAAGGGAGCGAGCGTGACAAGAAGGCATATTTTGGTTCATCATAAAGGAGACTCTTGCAAGTCTTAGGTAAGGAGCTCGCTGCTCCTAGGAGTATTCAAACAGATGCTAGAGGATGATCCGCTGGGAGAATTCCCCACCTTTAGTGGGAACTTGGACAAGATGCTGTCGAAGTCTTCTGTTAGCCTCCAGACACGATGGCCCTATACGCATCTACACTTGTCTACCTCTGCCTTTCTATGACCCTGGACCTCTCAAGCCCAAATTTCCAGAGCGGCCAAACCCGAAGACTTTGGAGCCCCAGAGTTTCCCTCTGGGATCTCCAGACTCTAGAAGTTGAAGACTTGAGAATGATCCTACATGTCTCGGGAGTGTTGCATCCAAAGGCTTCTGTGACATGAAAGGACAGGAAAGAGGATGGGGGCGGGTCCAGCGTGGAGGGATCGAACTAACCCACCTCGGTGTGTGCGCGCGTGTGGATGTGCGTGTCCGTGTATGACACGCGAGTTTAAGGCTCTAGGAGGCTTGTGCCCGCAAAGGCGGCCTGGTTTTCCTATTTCGTGCACCTCCAGCTTCCTTGCCCCGGCCACTGGAAGGCTGTCACTGGGATAATTATAGCCCCCAAACAAAGCTGGTGCCTCTAGGTAGCCATAGCTACTATTAGGTAATGCCTGCTCTGTTGTAGAGATGTAGAAGTACAAACAGATGTCGGCCCCTTCCTATTAGCTTAAATGGTAAAACTTAAAAGGTCCATCGACTTCAAAGCCACAGGTTTCCATGAGCACGCCAGTTAATGGGGGTGCCTGCCAAGGGATGACGGCTAAGTATTAAACACTTGAGCATCGGTAATGATTTGATGAGCTTTTAAATGCTCGGGCTGTCCCCAGACAAGTGCAGGGGCTGGAGTTGGTGGACCCGCGGCTTCAGATTTGGGTCCCGCCCTGCTGTTCACCAGCCCCTGGGCGGCCGGTGCGGAACCTTGCCAGGTCCTTGCTCCCTTCCAGCCAGGCGGGGTACCAAGCCGCCCCGCCCTGCCCTGCCACCGCGCTGGCCTCAGCCTCCAGCGAGTGACCGGCAGCAGGGGCCGAAGCTGCTGGGGGTCTGAGCCCTTGGCAGATTCTCTCAGAATTGCCTTTCCTCTGTCGTGGGTCCGGCACAGAGTAAGCCCTTAGTACTAGGCTGTTGAGCAAATAGGAGAACGAACGAACGAACGAACGAACGCATGAATGATAGCTCTCCCCCCAATCCCCGTGACATTTCTAGCTACTCATTTTGCCATCACATCTTCCGCCGTGAAAGGTGGCTGGGCTCCCAGAGGTCTGGGATAACAGGAGCTTCCCGTGTGACTCCTGGGGCACCGTGTCAGGGAGAGAGGCGCCTCTGCTTAGGAACCAGCTGATTGGTTCGATAAAGGAGTCAACAGGGTTCATTGACAGGCTCCGCGAGGGGTCAGACAGGAAGTGGCAGTTCGCGGTGACCCTCACACAGTAATTGGGCCGGGCTTGACGGAGATCGGAACGGAATGAATTCTGGGCCCTAGGTGACACTCAAGAGCCCCCACCTTGGGGTTCCTGCTCTGTGCTGGCCATGAAACTGACTCTCTTCGACACCGTGTTTCCTACCTCCTAGACAATTCTTGCCAAACGTCCCTGCTCGTATTTCGGACAGGGGATCTGATTCAGGTAGCTAGCAGATGGAGGCTGTTGGATAGAGCCCTGCCATCGGCTGCCTCGGGTTGGGTGCCAGTCCCGGTCCAGTCGGCTGTGATTGGCCGTGGGGTCGGGGGGGAAGCACATGGCCCTACATGGTCACGTAGGGACTGGGACAGAGCAGTCGCTTTTAGAAAGAGCTGTCTATGTGGGGTCGTCGTGACGGACGTGTCTATTACAGACCCAGGACAGCCAGGGCACTTGCTTATTCTTTTGGAACCTCACCGTCCACAGCTATAAAATGGGGTGATGCTTGTTACCTTGCGGGGCCACTGTGAAAATCAGATGTCTTGCTGCCCAAGGAGGTGCTTTGTGAACTGTAAAGTCCTGTGTAGATGGAAGGAAGGGCCCGGTACGTTGATCATAGCACTAAAACAACGGTACTGTAAGCTTACTCCTTATATCTCCCCAAGGGACTGTGAGTTTCTTGAACACAGGGATGTGTTTATTTAGTTTTGTTGTCCTGAGCATGTGGCACAGTTTCCATCACACCAGAGGTAGTCTGTCACTATGTGAGGGATGGATGAACGGATGGATTATGGATGGATGGGCAGATGATGGATGGGGGAGAGG